CCTGAGCAGATCAGTTTTCTTTTTAGTTTATTTAGGTCATCTTCAAGTAACTAAGTATATTTACTTTGTTACAGTACTTAAGTAGTTTTTTTGAGGATTTGTAATTTTACCAGTTATTTTTAGCTACTTTTATTTTGTTACATTTTAAAGCTAAAAATGATACTTATACTTCTTTACTTTAAGATTTAACACCTAGTTACTCATTACAAATGAAATCTGTTTGAACTCATCGTGAAAAATGTTTCTGCTCTAAAAATATGAAGTGTTGAATTTACTCAACAAAGTCATGTCAGCTGGCTCCACCGAGCCTAGTTGAGTAAATTGAGCAAAAAATAAACATACTGTATATTACTCAATTTAATCAACCTGACTTAGAGGAACCAGTTTGGTTCAGTAAATTCAACAGTTTATTTCTTAGAGAGTGTGTAAAAGTACTTTTACTTTTCCAATTGTTGTGAACAGTTTTATGGCTTTTACTTGAGCAGTTTTCTCATCAGTGAAATTTATTTTTACCAGTCATTTTCTGTTCATGTAATTTTACGTTTATTTATTTTTTTCAAGTACTTTATAGAGCTCAGGTCATCTTTAAGTCTGGAGGGAAGGGTCAGGACGTTGTTTTTAGAATAATGAACACGTAATTCTTCCTGCATGAAAACARCTTCAGGTCTGCTCTCAGGTTCTCTTGTGCTTCTGAGACAGTTCTGATGGAACTCTGGTTTTCTTTCCCAGTTGGAACCATCGACGTGGGCAAGGCTCGCCTCATGTTCTGGGACCTGGGAGGTCAGGATGAGCTCCAGTCTCTATGGGACAAAGTGAGTATAAGTCTATCTGTTTTACAAGTGCTGAGGCACATTTTACAAAACAGAACCTTTAAATAAACACTTCACAAATTTAGTACAATCTCACATCTAGTAGGTGGAACATGTAACTTATTTGACAATAAACAAACCAAAACAAATTAGTTAAAACTGTGTTTGTCTCCATATCAAACATTATTCATACATACAAGTTTTAAACTTTTGTAAACATTTGCACACTGCACTGAAGTGAAAAACTCTGAGAATTTATCTGTAATTATCAGATTATTCAWATGTTAGGATTACTGGCCCTGTTGGGTCCAGTTCTGCGGGACCAGTTGTGATTTCCTACTTTACCTTCATGAGAAGCTCTGTTTTTATTTAGTATTACGCTGAGTCCCATGGAGTCATCTATGTGATCGATTCAACTGATGAAGAGCGTCTGTCAGAATCAAAGGAGGCCTTTGGTGAGTTATGGTTCTGTTTTAAACTGAAATAAAATCACGACTCTGCTGACTGCAAACTGGTTCTGTTCCAGAGAAGATGATCAGCAGCGAGGCGTTAGAAGGTGTTCCACTTCTGGTTCTGGCCAACAAGCAAGATGTGCTGGTACATCATTTATTTTTCTTTCTTTGGAATATCCACATTAAACCTCTGTTTCATTCATTTGTTGTAGTCAAACCAAGTTTGTGTCCTATTATTAATTAGACATTTTAAAGTTCAAATGTATTATTAAATAACAAGCAACATGTTCAGATATTAGGTCAAGGCTTTTCATTGTTTTTCTAAATTTGTTGGTTTGACTGAAGTTCTTGTGGGTTTGAATGATGTTCTTGTGGGTTTGGGCTGATGTTCTTGTTGGTTTGACTGATCTTGTTGGTTTGACTGATGTTCTTGTTGGTTTGGGCTGATGTTCTTGTTGGTTTGGACTGATGTTCTTGTGGGTTTGGGCTGATGTTCTTGTTGGTTTGGACTGATGTTCTTGTGGGTTTGGGCTGATGTTCTTGTTGGTTTGTGCTGATGTTCTTGTTGGTTTGACTGATGTTCTTGTGGGTTTGGGCTGATATTGTTGTTGGTTTGGGCTGATGTTCTTGTTGGTTTGACTGATGTTCTTGTGGGTTTGGGCTGATGTTCTTGTGGGTTTGGGCTGATGTTCTTGTTGGTTTGTGCTGATGTTCTTGTTGGTTTGGGCTGATGTTCTTGTGGGTTTGG